CCTGAAGTCCACTATCATCTCCACTGTTTTGAGCGTGTTCAGCTCCAGGCTGTTAAGACTGCACCAGACAGCCAGCTTCTCAACCTCTTGTCTGTAAGCAGACTCGTCGCCGTCCTGGATGAGACCGATGATTGGTGTCATCTGCAAACTTCAGGAGTTTGACAGATGGGTCGTTAGAGGTGCAGTCATTTGTGCAGAGGGAGAAGAGCAGTGGGGAGAGAACACAGCCCTGAGGAGCTCCAGTGCTGATGGTCCGGCTGTTGGATGTGAGTTTTCCCAGCCTCACTAGCTGCTGCCTGTCTGTCAGGAAGCTGGTGATCCACTGACAGATGGAGGTAGATGAAATTTACACTGTTATTAAACTGAATTGAACCAACACCGAACTGACTTGAGCTGAAAAACGACACTATATTACTGCAAAATTTGCATCATCTCCATAATTAAGTTTGCATAACTAATTTTATTTTCCTGTTTATTACTGTGAAGCTCCTTTATCAGATTGTACACCCTTTCTGATCAAATTATAAAATCTGGCAATTTAACCTAGACCTTTGTTTATAGTGGGCAGCTGTCATCACATAATCCTCTGTTACTAAAAAAACACAACATGCTTGTTTTGATACTTTGTCACGAATGTAGACCATGTAGGGTCGACTGTGTGAAACGGAGACTTTACCACCAACAATGCCATGTATGAAGAAACCTTAAAAAAGAGTTTAGTTCTGAAACTATTCAACAGCATATTCTGAGAAACAGCCCATTGTAATAACTAAAGTAGACTGGATGTGAATACCTGGGGTGCAGGAACACAGCAGTAGCAGACAAGTGATATGCCAACAGATGCTCATTGTAGACAGCTCCGTTACACTCAATGTGCACCAAAGAGGTGTTGGGTTCTGCTTTTATAGAGAGATTCAAGGGACCCAAACCCGGAAGATAATAGCAAAAGCTGCAGCATGCTCTGCTTCCAGATCAGTTTCACTGATATAACAGCATTTAAGTTAGAGAATGTTAAAGGTTGTTAGAGTTGATCACAGGTCGGTGATTATCATCTTTCGTTGTGTCACAACTAACACTTTGGTGATAATATCAGAAAGTGCTCACTAGGGGCAGTCTTGATAGTTGTGAGAATTTCATTATCTGTCATTTTTGCAACTTCTGGCACCTGGATTACTGTAATTTTTTATGCATAGTGGACACTTTACAACCTTAACAAATAACCTGAAGTCTTTGTGGCATGGATTTAGCAAGGTGCTGGAAAGTTTTTTTTTTTTTTGTAGAAAGTCTGGTCGCTGTTGAGATGGTGGGATGATACAATTGCTGCAGATTTATCAGCTGCACATTCATAATGTCAATCTGCCCTTTCTCCACATCCCAAAGGTACTCTTTCGAGATCTGGAGACTGTGGAAGTCGTCTGAGTACACTGAACCTCTCCACTGTGCGTGCATGTTTTTATGCACTGAAATTTCTCTGGTGCTTCCTTGTTGCTCAAGCTGTTTCACGACTTATTCAAGTGTCCTCATCTCTTGTGGTGGTAGAGACTCTGACATTTAACCTCTTTGTAAGACTTTTCAAAATGGTTAGAGTCCTCCTTACAAAGGTGGAGATTACAGGTCAGTTTGCTTGAACTAGCTGCTTGAATAGCATTAATTGTCTATTTTGTTTCAGATGCATGATTTGTATTCTCAGTGTGTTCCTTTATTAGCATTAGCATCTTTTGGATAAGACCTTTTTAAGTTACTTTTTTTCCAGAGCAATAAATCTGATGTCTAGATTCAGGTTTGCCTGTGCTATATTTTGCTGAAAGTGGTGATTCTGTAGAAAGGTGTTCATTTCAAATTTTGTGATCTTGTGAATTCCATGATTTTTCTTTATGGTATTTTGTCCAGTAATTTGCATTGCAGGTTTATTAGCATAGTTTTTTTCTAGGTTAGTTCTAGCAGTGATACAGTGCACTTTGTGGCCAGCTACTGCACAAAAACTCAAGTAGATTTTAGCCACAGAAAATGAAAGTCTTATTAGACGTATGTGAAAGGGTTACAAATGAGCCTTTATTTTAAACCTGCACATTTAAAACCTACACATCTACACATGATTGGTGTAAAACTAAACCCAAACATAAATGATAGAACTTGCATTGAACCAGACAACTACAAGACTCTATCCAGCTTGCCCTTCCATGTTTCATATTGCTGCTGAGTAGGTGGTTTCATGTTGTCATGAATCCATGAAAAGTAGTGGGAAATATGAGTGTACACTGAAGTTTTGTACTTTGCATTTGTGTGGTTTTTGGAAAATGACACAATTCCCTGTGCAACACCTCCACAAACAATTGGACCCCCAGAGTCTCCCTGTGGATTATATAATTTGATTATTAGTATATCGCAATGCAACGACACTGATACACCATAGATCATTTGTGAGTGGTGCCACTTGAAATACCTGTGCTGGTCCAGTTGATCCCTCAGTGCACAGAGTGTCAGCCGTGCCACAGTTTTCAGAGTCTATCAGAGTCACGTTTGCTTCTTTGAGCACATTTGAAGGAGACTCGTGATCGTATTTCTTCCAGCCCCAACCCATGACCATGCAGTCCTTTGAGATTTCTTCATTCTCAGGTTTTGGCAAAGCGATAGTACTCACATTTTTGTTCAAAATTGCTGGGGTTTTGAGCTGAAAGAGAAGATGCAAAGTTCATGATTCAGTCGATAACCACATTTCATTCAGTGTTTTTAAAGATAGGCTATTAAAGATTTTAAGCTGAGCAAAAGTATATTTGGTAAATGTTAACAATTTCCTATCATGGAATTATGTTTTTTAGGCATGATACCAATGAAATTGTTCAATCTTATGTTATTACCTTTAGAAGCATGATGTCATGACCTTTTCTTCTCATATTGAATTTTGGATGTGGAGTGGGATCTACCTCTACACCGTCAGATAAATGGTTGTTGTTATCGACCCCCAAATATACCATAAGATTACTAAAAAAAATAAAAAAAATAAATTGATATCGTAGAGGCCAGAGTTGCAAAATGATTAAATATTTACAAGAAAGACATGACTTTGGATGTTAAATGTCACTAATCTAAAAAACACTTAATTTTCAGTAATATTATCAGTATGTCTGCCCTGATACCAATGGATGAGAACAAAACTTTAACTGAATTAAACTAGATAATAACATCACATCTTGCAACATCAACCCTGTTATTAAACTGTAACTAAGTTGAATCAACATTGAAGTGATATTGCTACCTTCTGTAGAACTGCTTATAGCTGAATTAAACTTGTTTCAAAACATATAAACTTTACACTGTACCTGATCTGAACTGAATAATGACACTATTGTCTTTTTAGAGCTCCTCGCAACAGAATTTGAATTGTCTCCATAACTGAGTTTTTCATAATTTATTCCGCTATTTTCCTGTTTATTACCGTAAAGCTGAAATGATCTGTATTGTATAAAGCGCTAAAGAAATGAAGGTCACTTGACTTGAAAGTAGGTGTTTTTTTCATACAGTTGTAGACAATGAGTGCCTGCACTTAGTCAGTTTGTATACTCCAATTTCTTTCTGATTTTCAGATAAAAAAAATTAAAATATGATAATTTCACCTACCTTTGTATGCAGTGGGCGGCTGTCATCACATAATCCTCTCTTACCAAAAAACCACCACATGCTTGTCTTGTAAACTTGTCACGAATGTAGACCATGTAGGGTCGACTGTGTGGAACGGAGACTTTACCACCAACAATGCCATCATGCATAGAGAAACCTAAAAGAGTTTAGTACTATTCAATAGCATATTCTGGGACATATTCTGTAAAAAAAAATTACTGCTGCCACGATTACTTATCATAACTTAGTTCGATTTTTAGGAAACTTTAGTTAATTTGGATATTTAAGTTATCTCAACAAAAAAAGTAAAATTTAAGTTAACTAATTGCAGGATATTTTTTTTTTTTTTTTTTTACAGGGAGC